AGATGATCTGCAAAGGTCCCTTCCAGCCTCAATCATTCTCTGATTCTGTGACATGTTTACAAGTTCCCATGACTTTGGTTTCTCTCTGAACGTTGCTGCAAACACTAATGCAGTTTGAAGCAGCTGAATGGCAGTTGGCCTTTGAAGGAAGTGAGGGCTATTTGAAAGCATTAATAATCTTTTATGTCTCTCAAACATAAGAGATGCTTCTGCCTAGGTCTGAACAGCCTTGCCTGAGTCCTGGATGACTTTTCCTCAGCTTAGTCCTTTCCTGTAGCAGCGGTGTGCTGGTTAAACCATGAAATATGCACGTTTCTCATTGTCCCATATGGCACACCACAGGAGAAACGGCTTTCTTCTGCGCAGGATGCAACCAGCTGATGTTACGAGACATATATGGAGTGCCTGAAGAGTTTACTGCAGGCAAAGTGGAGAAGGGAGCAGTTACAGCCTTGTCACATCTTCTTCAGAGACTTAAACTAGCTGTTTAGCTTTTGTTCTTTAAAGCCTGGCTTGAAGAAAAAAAAATACATTGAGTCTGTGCCTGTCTGTCTGCATGCACATGTAGGGACTTGGAGTGGTGAGTTCCCTTGTTTTCCTTTTATGTGCAGTATTGATACATTAGTTTCATTCAATGCCTGATACATCCTGTGCTGAAGATGATATGTGAAGACATTTTATTTACAATTTTATGAACCCAGTTGTAATGCTTTTAAAATGTTCCTGCCAAATTAGCTGTGCACTGATCTGTCATGTAAAAGGTCTTTACAAATTTATACCAAGCATTAGAGTATGGTCTTGTCTCATCTGACTTCTCACCTCTAGGACCTCTGGAACTCTTTTAAAATCCAGCAAAAACTAGATTTAAAAGATGCTATTTAATTTTCCATACCTTTGAAAATCCTTTTGCATAATTAGATACTGTCAGCAATTTGGATGGGAGTCAGTTCACTTAATTTAGTAATATTGTTGCTGTAGCCACGATGGTGTAAAAACATAAAGCATGATTTGTTGATACAGGTAATTTCTTTTCAAGCTTTACAGTGTAGTCTCAGTGCCAAAGTTAGTGTTTAAGGTGAATGGGCTTTGTTTTTACCTTTTTACTTAAAAAGACCATTTACTTAAAATGTTCCTCTTTTAAATACTTGGACTAATTGTCCAGGCTGCTTAGCAGAGAGGTGCTTCAAGCCGCGGCGCAGGCGGCCCCGGGCAGGGGGGGGGAGCAGCAGGGCGGGCACGGGAGGCCTGCGCCCCCGCGAGCGGCCTGCGCCCCCGCGAGCGGCCTGGCCCTTCTCCAGCTCGCTCCGGCCTGAGGCCGCTGGTCTCGCCCCGTGTCCGGGCGGTCCTGGGATTTGCCACATGGATGTGCCACCAGCCAGGCCGGGCGGTCCTGGGATTTGCCACGTGGATGTGCCACCAGCCAGCCCCTGCGGCCCGGTGCCCTCGTGTCCCTCGGCAGCGGGGGGCAGGTGGCAGCCGGCGGCTCCTGGCCCCGCGTGCCCCTCCGTTCCCTTGTCCTGGTGGCACTTCAGTTTCGGGACAGGCTTGGGGACCATTTTCTGTTAGGTGCCTTGTGCGTTCCGACCTTTTCCGTGATATACCTAGCACCAAAAAAACGTTTTTTTTGCAGGAACAGGACTCTGTTTCACCACAGACAAAATGACCGAACATCAATGAGGAATTTTATCTTTATTTCCATGATGTTAGCACAATGAACTCACACAGTAGCATTGATCTGTACTTATTTAACAAAATACATTTATAGCAATTTACAAATTATTTTCCATTTGAAAACATTGCATAACATTTTATTAAACACAATACTTTATATAGAGAATTCTCATTTAAAAACATAGTTTATTTTTGAGTATTTTCTTTTCTCAGTAAAGCATAGCCTAACAAAGAAATTCGTGCCTGTTAGCAAGTAAGAAAATTAGAACACTAAGAAGATGTCACCTGTCAATTTATTTGATTAATTTTAAATTAAGGTATCAGTGGAATGTAAACAAAGAGTAATTTTACAAAAAGGCTCCATATCAAATATACATGCAGAGGTCTGAGTTCCAATGTATATATTATTACACTTCTGTTCTCTAATGTAATATAATTTGATAAGCCATTATTAAAAACAGTAGCCTTTGGCACTTTGAGTAAAAAAAGAATATATCAATATTTATGTAAAGAACACAATTTCAATGATTACACAAGTGCTTTAAAATCTTTTGTTAAGAAATAGGAAAGCTTAGGAAAAATATCACACTGCACTTGAAATAGTGCAGCAAGTTTTAGAGTAATAAAATCAACACATATGCCAATATATATCTGACTAAAACCAAGGAATAAAGAACAAACACTCCCACCAGGAATCCTGCTGTTTCCAAAACAGCTCAATTGCCAGAGGGAACATTTTCTAATCTTTGCTTTATTGCCATTATTCTCCATTTCTATTTTCCATTATTTCCAGGTTCATCTACTTATGTTCCTTCCCCTGCACTTACAAACTAACAAATGATTGCATCTTACTTCCCTGCATTGATAGGCCAACAGTGGTTGTGTCTCACCCATTCTGTTAAAGCTAATCCTACCCGCTTTATCGTGTACCTGAACGAGGCTCAATCCAAAGGGTTTTTGTTCGTTACAACCCAAGTGTTTGTAATTCCTAGGAACATTGTACAAAATTTAATATTAAATACCAAGGACTAAAGATTCATTTATTTAAAAAGCAAAAATAAATCTTGACTTGTAAATATTAGAGTCTGAGAACACAGTTTTAAAAAAAATATTTTTTCCCCTAGTATCTTTGATTGATTTTCCCAGTTACTATGCCTTGAGATAACATTCAACATGTACAACAGTTTGCCACCCTACTGGTGATTTCCTTACATGTATTTTCCTGCAAAATACCCTGCCACGGACGTCAGATGGTGATGAGGTTTCTGTCCATTACTAGCAGAAAAAGGGTGGTCATTTCTTAAAGATCCAGCCCCCTTCCCCAGCAGTGGGCAGGGGCAGTGAGGGAAGCTCTGTTGGACAGGCTTGGCTGGTGGCACCTTGCTCAGCCCAGAGCATCTATGTAACTGGGAAGGTTTATAAAGCTTTCTATGAAAAAGGACTCTGAATCCCTTCTTCTGTGCAGGACAGCAAGCACCGTCCTCCTGCTTCTGAGATTACTTGGGATTGGGGTTGGGTTTGGTATTTTCAATTGTTTTTTCTCTCACGTGCGTGTTGTGCTATTTGCCTTTTTAAGATGGGATGATTCTTCCTTCTACCTCCTGTTTGTGGGGATGGGTGGGTGTTTCCACCTCTTCCTCAGAGGTCTGTGCAGTAAGGTTTGTAGGCAGGTCCTGGCTATGTATTAGGCAAGTGATACCCTGAATCGGCAGAGGACTTGGAGCAAATCACCCCATGAAAAAAGCCCACGGACAGACCTGAGCTGCTACTGCCTGTTCAGTGAGGGGAAGGTGAAGCTTTTCCCCCCATCCTGGAAGCCATCTGATGGCAGCTCTCCTTCAGGTAGAAGTGACCTAGGTGAGAATGAGGAAATGCGCTGGACTTCCTTCGTGAGTTAAGTTATATGAGCCCAATTACACTGAGTTTGTCTTCCAGCATAATCAGGACATGTGATGGTTTTTCCTTTTAGAGTTCTCTAGGTCATTGATTCCTGGCAATACAGATCTTAAGTGGGTAAATTCTTTCTTTATATGATGAGCTCAGTTTACTAAAATAATCCATATTCTCTCAGGTGCAGAGACCCTCCATATTATTAAATGGGGAGAAAAAATACTGTTCTTAAGGAGGGTCTGTTGGAGGACCTCTCTAGGGACGTGAACAGCAGCGGTGGCACCGTGCAACACTCCTCAGGGATCCTGCAATACCAAGGCATTCTGTCTTTAAAGAGAAGCATAAATTCCCCAAACGATGGTCCCTAGGGTGAAACTTGTGATTGTTCTTGTGGCGTGTAAGCAAGTGAGGTGAGTAACTGCTGCTGAGTGTGAGCTAGAATATAAATTGTGGTGTCCTTGGAAAGTGGCAGTTTATTTTATCTATGTGTGGCTCACCTTTCATGTTTGCGCATCTCACTGTTAATGGCGTCACGCATCATGTAAGTAAAAACTAACAGAAAAATGGAAGGGTTGCTGAAGGACAGAATGACAGATTTAAAAATGGAAAATCTGAATTACTATTAGTGCTTTAAAAGACCCCTTTAAAAATAATATTTAAAACAGTTCTACAAGTTAGCCCACTAAGAAGCAGCCTCTTCATTAGTAGCACCTGTTCTTAAACAAAAGTTGAGCAGTAGCAGCAAAACTATTCAAAATAGATAGTTATTCCATTCTAATGGAATGTCACCAACACATTTTGTTGCAGTAGACATCTTAAAGGACTACACAAAACCTTTGCAATCTTTGAATGTGACAGATCCACTATAACAAAGCTGTAAATATTTCCTACTCTAAATGAATGCAGCCAGCATCATCATAATATTAGCAATATTACTTTTAAAGTAACTGCACATCAATATGTTATGTGTTTGCAGAGTCTAGTAAGTTTGCAGATTTTCAGAACATTTAAAGTTTCTGTCAGCACCATCCTGTATTAAAGTTTTGGTGCAAACTCTGCAAAGGTGAATAATATAACACTGATACAGCTTTTGCTGTGAAAAAACAGTTGATTTTGTACACAAATATAAATAAAAAGTTGGCACATTCAGGAAATAAAGTGTCTGTGTTCAAGACCAATGTTTTGATTGACATCATCATTCTCAGATAAGCTTTTTGAGTCTGAAGAAACTAGTTGCATGAAAACGTTTCACATTAGTTAGGTTCTGGCTTTGTGCTTTTCCCCCCGCCACGTGATTAGCACAGGTTCATGCACACTAACGTCATCAGTGTTCAACAGATGTTGGGCTGATGGTCAGTAGCTTGGCACATCAAAGGTGAGTATCAGCTCAAAACAAAGAGAGCGGAACCTGTATCAAGATGTGTTTTACTCAGTGGTGGTGCGGACCAGCTGATATGTCTCCTCTCATTCTTTGTAAGCTCGGGTGGGGGATGTTCCTTTGTAGAAGATATTTCTGGTGTTCTCTGGACTGCTCCCTCGCTCAGGGATTAAAATGATGTTAGCTTTTCTCCGAAGTGTTGAGTCCCGGCTAGAAGAAATGGACAGAGTCTCTGAGCCAATCTCACTGCCCTCCACTGGCGTGACTCTTATCGTAGTGATCCCATGGTGGTGATGCTCGCTGTTATCTATGTTGCTCCTTTTCCTGTCCCCTGAGCCATAACTGTCTTTCAAGGAGTCACAGCTCTCGGAGTCTCTGTTGAGATCATTTAGCTCATATGTCTGACGAAGGGTGATTTTTTCAGGGCCTTTCCATTTCCATGACCCACTTCCTTCACCTTCTGATGGCATCTGAATTACAGGTCTGTTATTTTCTGGATGGGCCTCAACTCTGACAATGCTACTTGGCTCATGGTCTGTCAGGGTTTTATATCTAATGGCTCCTGTGCAAGTGACTGTGCTTCCCTCTGAACTCTTTGGACTGCCCTGAAGCACTCCTTGCTGCTTAGACATGGCTATTACTTGCATGATTCTGGGCTGACTGTTGCTTCTACATGCAACACTCTTCTCAGCAGCCTTCAGCCATTTAGCTCTAGCCGAACTACTTTTGGGAGACGTGTTCACATTTTCCTGAGTTTCTTCAGGAATATGAACTAACTGGGATGAGCCAGGACGTGACTGAATAGAAACCCTGGGCCCACCAGAGAGACCCGAGTTGTTGCAACCTGGTACACTACCAGGCTGAATTTTCAGGTATTGGTTACTTGGGCCATGATGATCCCCATTTACACCCACTCTGGAGGGCTCTGAGCTTGACCTCATTTCAATAGCTCGTGGTGGTGACTGGCCAGATTCAGTCTCTATTACTTGCAGTGACAATTTTCGACTTTCATTCTTGTTCTTCCACTGGGAAAGCAGTTGTTTGGAGCGGGCAGAATCCATTGATGCATGAATTGTTGCGTTTCTTCTTGCTGGGTCTTCCAAGGATGGTGTGTTGACTCTTGGCAAAGTGTTGCTGAAAGTAACCATATTTTCCTTTCCCATTGGGCTTCGTGGTGTTATGATTTCTACATCAGCATTTGCTCTCTTGATGTTAGTCAGAGACCCTGCATCTCTGTGGTTCCTATTGAGCATGCTTTCAGAGCGGTGTGTGGCGATGCCGTCGCTGCCGCTTCCGTTTTTACCAGGCAAGATTCTGTTGGCATCTTGGCTAAGGTCCGTGAAAGACCGTAGTGGTTCTCTGTGATAATTCTGGTGAATCATGTTCTCCTCACTTGGCAAGAAGTTCCCCACAGCATACAGGCCCTGATATTTGAACAGCAGTATCAACAACCAATTATGAAAAAAGAAGCATTTTAAGATATTTTAGCTATACTTTTTTGCCTTTAAATAAATGTAAAGTGATAGCATTAGTTATTTTAACTGACAGGATATATTAACTTTCCTCACCCATGAATTCTTATTCAAAATTCTGTCCTCATTCTGATGCATCTAGGTATATACAAAGTGGTCTCAGTATTATAACTAGGGCACATAGTACATGGAAATAAATAGATGAGGAAAATATTTAGCCTCCTTCTATGTTCCTTGCTTTATATAGCAACAAATACTGCTGAAGTAAGAAATGCTTTGTTACAAAAATAACAAAATTAATGTTTTGCAGTATTCTGAGCTAGTTAAAGATGTTTTACAGCTGCACTGCTGTCTGCTCGGATTTATTGAATCTTGTTCCAGCTTGAATTGTTCTCTGCTCTGTGATTCTGCCCCTTCCCCTGTGTGATAACCATGTAATACAATATCTACATGATAAAACAATTTATTGACTTTAAATCAATTGCTTTCCAAGCTGAACAGAACTGTAATAACATTAAGTTATACTACACTTTCTTTTTCAGCAGACTCAGTGTAAGACGGTATCATTTTAACAGAACTGAGAGCGTATTTTATGACAGGCTGAAATGCTTGACTCAGTTAACTGAGCTTACTCATTCCTTACACCCCCTTTGAGAGTTATTTGTAGTTTCGCAGTGTTTCCCCTCCACTTCCCTTCCTCTTATAGATAAGTAGCTTTCCAGACAGATTTACTGGCTACTGACTATCCAGGACAATGTCTCTCTTTGATGTACATTGTCATGCAGCAGTATATGGAGAAGACCTAACAAAGAACATTCTTGTTTGTGGAGTTCGAACATGGGAACAGTAACTCCATTTATGAGAATCTTCAACAGCTTAATCATTTGAAATAATATTCCCAACAGAGAGTGCCTTTCTGCTCACGGTGCAGGAAAAGAAACTGACTTCTCATGGGGCTTCTACTTTCTGCACTGGTTACTGTCACTTCTACTCCACAGTCATCCTTTAGACCATCTGTACATAGATTACATTATCGTGTCACAAAAATAATGTGACAGGCTATCATCTTATTTTAGCATTGTACAAAAATTCATCATTGACTTCTTGGAGGTCAAAACTGAATGTACTAGCTGATAAGAGCCCTCTGTTCACCTGCCCACACTAGAGCCAAAAGTGTCCGTGTGAGTTCCTGATTGCTCTCGGGCACCTGGGCTGACGTTCTGCAGAGCAGTGAGGGCAGCCAACAGTCAGGTTGGAGACACAAGAGCAGCAGGTGAAGGCAAATGCTGGATGAACTTCCTACCAGCAGATACAGAGCGACTTATCCTACCGTCCCTTCTGAGGTGCTGCGTCTGCTGTGCATTGGAGTAACCTGTTTGGAACAGCCTATTTTCCCCCCATCATTTCCCAGGCAGCCTTTCACCAAGACCTCCAGAAAACTCAAGAGGCGTAAAAGTGTGCTGATTTCTTGCAAATTCAGCAGTTTATTCAGTTGAGGTGCTGTATATTTATTTTGACCATTTTTGAGATTATAAAGCTAATGCTGACAATATAAATTCAGGCTGGCAGGAAATAGTGATTAATCCAATAATTTTATTGTAGAGTACAAAAGTATGAAGTAAAAATGCTCAGTATCTCTAAGTATTTAATGAAGCATATCATGTTAGAGCTATTTCCCCATACAATGTGGGAACATTATACATTACTGTGCAGCGTTATAGCACTTCAATTTGAAATGTATTAGCTTTTTCCTGTTTAGTTTTATAAATGACTTTCCCTAAGAGTCATATTTGATGCATTTTTGCTATATCTTAAATTTTTGTATGTGATCACGATGAAAGATTCTCGTAAAACATAACTGGTACTCTTACTATATACTTAAAATTTCTAAAAATTACTCCATCCATATTTACCAAATAGAGAGCAATTCCTCCTCCTATGAGAAAGCCACAGTAAACATCAACTGGATGGTTCTTATACTGGGTGATACGAGTGAGACCACATAAAATTCCACAGATGATAAAAGCAAAGACCAGAAGTGGTTTCAGAAGTTTGGAGGAGTCTGTCAATGTAGCATTGAAGTACATCTTAAAAAAATAGAAAAAGTGGTTGAAGAAACTCAGGCTGACAGAAGAAGATATGAATTTTCTTGCATTAAATATTTTTGATACATAGATCACTATTCTATGTTAATATTTCTCAGTCAATTTTGCTAATTTTGTTTTACAGCCCTGCTAAATCTGCTTATTTACTGTAGAAAAATAAGAAATCACAAGAAACAGATTTCTGAAAGCTCAGGCATTGTCATTGTTACTTTTTGAGGTCAATTAGGGTACGGATTTTATGCCCAAATACTGTTCACAGTAAGAGCTTAAATGTTCTGTAAATATGTTTAAAGAGTCACCACCTCTGAAATAGAGAAGGCAGATGTCATGCCAGATGAAAGCAGTATCCTGTTCTAGCAAAAGCCACCACCAGATGCTTTAGAGAACCACTTCTCAGCTGGGGGCCACAATGGTTGGGGGGTCACGAGAAGTAAGTGGAGATTGTTCATCAGCATCCTACCAGCTTTTGGGCTTTCCCTGAGCAGAATAAATATACTCTGGCAAACTGCCAGTACATCCACAATTCCATTATTGAAATGTTATTAACTGGTTGTTGTTTGAGTTTTATGATGGAATTCCCTTTTCTTTTTCCTTCAGGAGTCACTCATACAAGCATGGGACACTGAACTGCAGAAATGTCATCAATCAGAGATGGGAATTGAGCTGTGATCCCTGCAGCGTGTCCTGCCATTCCCTGCTAGTTGCTGCTGTTTGCTATTCACTTGCTCTGCAGTAGCACCTCGGAGACCTTTGGAAGTGGTTGTGCCATTTCATCCATGCTGCAATTCTATGGAAGCCAAATGAAACTAGATCACGGATGTTTGCTTCTTAAAGTTTAAAACAGTGAGTCAAGTGAAGACAGCAATAAAGAAAATGTTAATTTGAATGATAAACTAAAATATCATGCTATGAATCAGGTAAGCAGTATATCCTGTGAGAATAACATGAAGCATTAGACTTTAATATTACATTCCCCTACCACAGATACTGTTGCTTCTTAACAAAGAGTGTGAACCAGTCATATCCTTACTATATTCTTAGTAGGCCTGCTTTTATTTCAGCTGTTAGTAATTTCAATTTTGCTGTCAAACCAACAGGATAAGAACTTAGATCCTTAGTGCATTAGATAACACACCATTTTACAACATACAACAGATGACATTCTGCCTTTTTTCTTTTATAAATGAAAATGAACAAAGTTGATTACTCACCGAAATGTACACAGCTGCAAAGGCTGCCAGGGTGGCATGTTGAGAAGGGAATGACTTTCTGCCAAGGAAGGACACTCAAATTATGCTTCTCACTTCAAAAACACTGTACTCGTATTCAGTTGGAAAAAAACACTGGGTGGTACAGTCATTTTCAGCTTACACATCCTAAGTAATATATGATCCTGAACACTTCATTTCTAAATTTTTCTTCTATAGTCTGGAGAAAGGACTAAAGTTAATGCTTTTTTTTGATTAAATATTCTACATGAAAGTCTTTTTGTGAAAGAAGAAGAGTGTGAATGAACTAAAGATCAGATGATTGATTTTAAGAGAGAAATTTCTATAAATAAATTTCTGGAATCATTTTTTCAGTAAGTACCTAGTTATGCAACTTCTTTAATGCAGGAAGCTGGATCTTATGATTGTTCTCACTGACTGGACTGGGGCTCTTCTCAGTAGAAGGACTCATCAGCTATATAAATGCTTTGATAATCAGGCCCTAACTTTACCAATGAAGTAATATGAAAAAGAGAATACCTCTATGAAGACTGATGATAGGGTAAGTAAGGACTTTTGTTTTGCAAAGGCACAAGTAGGTCTACAAACCTCTTATAATTTGAAGGCTTAAGATCTGCAGCACCCCTTTGTCCCTTGATATGTCTCACACTGGCAACATGGAAATAGCTTGTGCCCTGCTTTTTACTGTAGCAGTGGGAGTATGACAGGACACTGTAGAGGGGCATCCTTATTTGCTATGTTTTTATGTTACTTTTCACTAACTTTCTAACTTTCTAACCTGGTGGGTGTGAATGAAGTGCAAGCACTTGGAGAGGACATTTTAAAAGCCATGAAGCCCTTTCCAGAAGTGGAGATCAAAAGGGCAAATGAAAATATGTCAAAGCTCAGTGAGACAACAAACAAAATGAAGGTATCTGCAAAATTGTTGAGGGCTTTCTGCTCCCACTCAGGGGCTGGGGAGTTAACTGGCTGAACAGTCATTTAGCTTCTCAGGTGGATTTTGGTGCTCCACTTAGGTGGGTTTCAAGTTTCTACAGCCATTCTGCGAGGAGCACCTAGTTAACTATTTTAAATAATAGCAGGGACTGAAATACAGGCCTTTGCCCTCAGTCAAAGACATATTTTTTTCCACAAAGCAGCAGCATCTGCTGCTCTAATTTTTTCCCCATGCATTTTAGTTTGTTCTAAATAATTCACTGACAATTAAATGTGGGCAAGTAGTTCAGTGTGAATGCCATGCTGCTGACCTCAATTTGAGCCCAGGGCTCCAGCAGGTCCTTGACTCTTTCCAAGCTGAAATCAGCATGATGCCTTTTCATTACTAAAGGCGGATTTCTAAAGCTTCTCAGTTTTTATATCTGAACAAACCTTTCACAGTGGAATCCAGAGAACAAGCTCAAGGTTGAGGACAGGGGACAGGAAGCTAAAGACATGAAATAACTGTAAATGTTTATAATGGCTAATCAGCTCCTCTCCCCTGTGCAGGTTTTAGTGTAAGCATAAATCTGCTTACAGTTTCTGTGGAGCTAATGTGTAGCTTTGATTCTATGAATTTTAGTACCATTCAGAATTTAACCTTAATTTGACAGCATTTCTGTGGCATATAAAGTATGTCACTATGCAACACAATTTTCTATTTATTCTGCTTCTATTTATATACTTTCAGGACAAGCACACCATGTTACAGAGTAAAAATATTTTGTGTGCTCTGTAATGATGAAACTGCTTTCTCTTTCTCTTATTTACCTATTAATCTAAAATGAAAATATTAGAGATAAAATATATATAGCTTTTTTTGTATGGCTGTATATTTAAAAACAGAGGTCTCAGAGAAAGCATATCCTGAGCTCAGAAGTCAGTATATCACTCTGCTTATGCTTGAAAATGGGTGGAGGGGGAAGGCAAATGGGAGTAAACCGAACATCAGAAATGACACAGGATATAGAATTATTAGGCATCTCCATATAAATGGTGAAAAGGCTTTTTGAAGATTAACAGAGAAAAGATGGACAAAGCAAACCACTGGATATTCAGGGATGTTGCAGAGAGTTAATCTTACTAGATTAAGATTAATCTAACTGCAACATCCCTGAATATCCAGTGGTTTGCTTTGTTAACAGAGAGTTAACTCTCTAGTTAATCTTAATCCATGCAGTTAGCTGGATGCTTAGGTATGCTTCTCTCTATTTTTCATAGGGGAGTCTAGAGGCAAACTTCTGGAGTCGGAGTTTCCAGGAGGTACAAATCAAAAATGAAGACTGTTCTAACAACTCCCTTACAAGCTGAAATTGCTGCTGTAACAAACAATTGAGGGGAGAATTGAAACAGTAACAATGCTGACTACTGTGCTGTAAGTAGTCAGACATCAGGAAGCAATAATTTATTAGAGCAAAGATGCTATAAAATTTAATTAAGGTGAAACTGAGGCTGGTGCCAGAATATTATAGATCACCAAATGGATCCTCTGTGATAGGAATGAATTACAGAAATCAATTCAAGGTCATCTTTGTAAGGATATATGAACATACAAAAAATGACTGCTTAGCCTTCATCTTTTATAACTAATTTAACTGTTTTTGGGAAGTGATGATATTTAAACTTAGGAGTGATGTAGCTACAGACACATATGAGAGCTTACAATGAAATGAACTGGTATGTAATAATGCATACAGAATAAGGAGGAGTGCAGAGCTTTAGTGAAGAATTGACAGAAATGAAACAGCTTCATAGCTGCTAATCAGTACACAGATAAATTATGTAGCTTAGAGACAGAAATTGTGAACATTTCAAACATTCTATAATTGTGCTATCTTTGGGGGCAGCTGGAAATTAAATAAGCACTTCATAGAAAAAATCAATCAAAAAACAGAAGGACTGCAAAATATTCAGAGGGCTGCAATATAAATGACTGATAGACAAGAGAGGTTACCTTGTGTGAAAAAGATGAGGAAGACTGATCTGAAGCTATATTCAATGGAGAGAAGAGCTTTATGATTTCTCCGTGGGGAAGCACATATATTTAGGACACAGTAATAAGGTCCATGAACTAGGGACTAGCAGTTGTATATGTGTGTGTATATATATATATAGATTTATATGTACAACCTTACTAACTTAACTCTCTAGATTCCATGTTTAAATCTATGACCTCTCATCATTAATTGAGAATTATCACCATTTTATCACATCTAAGTTGTTTAAAACAGAGTATGTAGTCTAGGTTATATTGCAACTTAAATGAGATGCAATTTCTGAAATCTGTTATTACACAAAATATTGATTTCTTAGATGCTGTCTAGGTAGGGAGGCTAAAGACTAAAAGACCAGAGAGGATGAACCACAAGCTAGGAATCCTGTGAAACCAGAGGCACGTGTTTGGGACACACGTTTGCACTGCTATAGTCCTTTCTCTGATGAATGAATTTTCTCAATATCTGTGAGTATCAATAATCTAGTCAAGCACAGAAATGGAGACCAAATAAAGCCAAACAAAACCCCAAACCAAATGTGAATAACTAAGCCCGAAATGCCAGGACAGTAATCCACAGTATATAGGGGTTTCAGATATTAAGTTCATGGGTAACTTTTTCCCCTACTTGATATGGGGAACTTAGGCAGATCCTACTTAGAAAAGCATTGGAAACATATGTGTAATGTATAATTATATAATAATAATTTATGTATACTATACATGTAATGTACATATATACTGCATAATGCATATACATATTACACATTAATAATTGTATAGAAAAGTGCCTCTCCTCTGCAGGAGAGGAAATAACTAGCTACTCATGACTGGGCTTCCCAATCAGACAGAAAGGCTTCCAAAGCTCACTGATGGCCTAAAATCCTTATACAGAAATATCATGAGAGAGATCTAAAACTTCTCAGCTTAATCCTTATACGGAAATATCATGAAAGAGACCTAAAACTTCTCAGCTTAATCATAAAAAGATCTCAAACCTCGTTCACACTCCAACTAGAAATTAACTCTTGAAAGTAGGACACAAAATAATAACAAATACTTTAAAATGTACACAATGAAGGATAAAACTAACCTTCCAGCATTGATAATATTGACATCAGTTCCAGAGCAAATATCTTCCACAACATAGGAATTCTCTGCGCAGGATACATTTAAGGATGTATAGTTAGGCTTGCAAACAGTCAGGAAATATGGTGCCTGATATCCTGTTGATAGCTGTATAATATCAGTAATAAGAGCAGTAGAACAAAGACCAAACACATGAACACCTAGGAAAGAAATTGGCAAAGCTTGTTAAATTTATTACGATTTTTATTAAGTGCAAAATAGATGAATTCATTGTGAGATACTTTCGATATGGTGATTTATATCACTGGATTTTAGAGAGGCTTTAACCAAAGAATCATTTTTAATGAAACCTTATATCAAAGCTCAATTCTTTAATATTAAAAAAGTGATTTATTTATTTATGGTTAGAAAATTGAATTTGTTTTCTTCCAGTTGATAATTAACATTTATTTTTGATGGTCTGGCATTCTCCGACATCTTTGTACATAAAGTACACAACACTGGAGCTGCTTCTGTGTGAAAAGCAATTTGCTGAGCCGATTCAAAGGCAGCCATTTACATGAGCATTTGTGCTCATTAAATCCTTAGATTTTCCCACTAAAATAGGTGTAACAGCACAGACAGCTGCTTAGTAGTTCACTGCTCTGAGGAGCTGCTCTCTTTTTTTACCACCAGAGACGGTTCAGCTGGCAGTGACCTTGGCTACCTTCCCATCTGGGGCGGATTTCAAGGCCTGGCTGTTCTTTGCTTTCTCGGCCGTGGAGTTCGTAACCTCTTTGGCCACACACTCCAGCACTTCCCTGCCTGCCGGCCTATGGACACCCAGTGGATAGTCCTCCTCCTACTCAGCTTTCAGTATGCCTGCCCCGTAAGTGCTTTTTGCTCAAAACTGCTCTAATGAAAGATTTCTGCAACACAGAAAACCTTTCCTTAAGCCACCTAAGTGACAGAGGAGCTTAACTGTAACAGGGGAGCAAAATCCAGGTGTCCTTTCAAGTTTACTTTTAGTCACTATCAATGAAAGCAAAGTAAAATTCACAATATTCCTTCATATCATTAGCTGGATGGACTCTAGCCATTTTTCAAGAGGTAGATAAACATGTTCCAGAAAAAGAAAGTAAAATCTGACAGTTTCTGACAATTTGTTACTGTCATGCTATTCCTGAGTACTGTTAGCTGGGTTGAGACCTTATAATGCACTGAAGAGATGTGGGAGAAACAATTAAAAGAAGCCAGCTCAAGATGGAGGGGGAGGGAGGCAAAACAAATGCTTCCTTTAGCAATACTGACAATAGTATAGCAGGGGAAAGGGATAATGGAGAGTGTAGATGTTGCATTACTGAATAGGGGGTTACTCTGTCATTCTATTTGACAGTTTCTTCTTGTATTTTTCTGGCAGATGAATATCTGTGCCTGTGACGGCCCTGCACTGTTCTAAAAGGCTTTTCAGAGAAGGAAACCTGCGTGATGAAAACTGAATGTACACGGAAGGCTCTTTGTAACTAACATTTGAGACCCACCAACAAATCTGACAGCTCTTCTAAGAAAAGAATTGAAGTTGCATCCTCCTGCATTAATATTGGCCTCTGTTCCAATCCCATTTCTTCTTTTGGACAGGCAGCAGTAGAGAATTCCTTCTCCTACCATTATCTGCAATGACAAAGGAGCTGTTAAGTTAAATGAAGCAGTTATTCAGAAGACAGTGATTGAATTTAAAGGGCTGAAATATAATTATAACACAACAAATGTCATCCACTGACATGTACTTGCTTTTAAAAGATTTGTATCCATATGTAAATACTCACTAATGCAATTTAGCCTGAGTGGGAGCCGGCAAGAAGGTGGTGCTGAAGTTGACTGTAAGTGGCATAAGGTTTTGGAAGGACACTCTTTTTCTATTATTATTAGATGTGTATAAAGTGCTCAGTGGAATGGTGTCCCTGATCTATGGTTGAAATTTGATGCTTCTACACTAAAAGAGTAATAATTAGAAAATCTCTCCTCCAAGGTAATATCTTAGTGCTTCAAAGGTGCCTTGGCTTCATGCCTAGCAATCCCTGCTAGAAATCCCTGGCAGCTTCTAACTACCTGCCCCCCTGATCTTCCCAATTGTTTGTGACCTGGGTTTTAACCAGATCCACAGCAATAGCAAAAGTGGCCCTCTGAGCACAGCAAGGAAAAGAGATGATGATGACTGAAGCCCTGGAGAAGTCCTGAGAATAGAAATAAGGAGGGAATGATAAATGAAAAAGAAATTACTTGCTTGCAAGCCTGGAACCAGTCATAAGTTTGCAATTTCAGGTGTGAGTGTTCTTCCTGTCAAGTAGTGCAACTTGGAAATCCCTAGGGGACTGAATCCAGGTTGTGTTGAAATGAATGAGGCAGTTCTCACCTGTGGGAGGAGATTGACTCCATCTATCCACAGATGCAGCAGAGAAGTGAATGCTAAAAGCTGCAAAACAGTGCATTGAGATGCTAATACTTCCAAATTATGAAAAGTGTGCTGTAATTATCCATGAAGTTTGTGCACATTAACACCCCTAGTTTTGGAAGAAGAGGGGAGATCCATTGGACAAGCCTAGTTTAACCCTTTTCTATAATGTTAACTGTTTTTTTTTTCCAGAAAAATGAAGCAGTGTATATAGTCTCATTATATGGAAAAGTCACTGATTAGGGATATTTAAGGGATTTTATTAGATGAGTACCACAGTCACTATTATCTGTCTCTATTTGGTCATTTTACAGGTGAAACCTTTTCACAAGATTTGAGCAGTATTTTAAATTAAAAAAAAAAGAGAGAGAAATTTAAATAGCTTTTGCCAAACTTTAGAGGAGCCTACATAGGAAGAATCACCAGAATGGGATATTAATTTGTGTGACAGAGGAGAAAATAGGGAAAAGGCAAGGCCTATGATAAGAGGAAAATTCAAAGGGTGGTATTTCCAAGGAATCAGCCTGCTGCAGCTGGGGAGGCAGTAGGACCGTCTGCTATAGTCAGCAGTGACTTTCTGCCAGGATTTGGTGTTGGCTGCAAGTGCCTATTACCTGCAGCACTGTAACTCTTAGATTTTACTTCCTAAACAAGTATAATTTTTGGTCTGACAGTTAGGCAAAACCATTAAAAATGGCTTCCAAAGGAACCAAAATCAAACCCAGTAAGAGGACTTCAGGTTTTTGTTTATTCCGTTTAAAAAAGAAGAACGAAACACGCTGGAGACTGTAGGGAGGATGACTTTCATATGGGCATCATATTATACAGATTTTTTAACTGCAGATTGGCCACTGCCATGAAGCAATGATCTGTTTAAGGGACTTTGGTGAAGTCAGCAGGGATGCATTTGTAGCTATCTTTGCAGAGATGCCTAAGTGAGATGCACAGCCACTACAGTCATGGAAGAGCAGAGATCCTTTCAGAAGACTGGTTTGTATTCCTGGTGCCTGGCAGTGCTCCTGGAGGTGACTGTGGTGAAGAGGAGCAGCGTGAAAATAATGCTCCTAGCTGAGGTGCCTGAAGTCAGTGAATCCTCTCTAAGATATATAAAGTCTTTCATTTCATTTTAACTTGACACAGCAATTCCAGAAGGGGCTATATTTATCTATATCAGACATTTTATTTTACTTACTACAGTGTCCAAACTGATCCTATTCTGACAGAAGTTTTTGTTCTGCCCAAATCGTGTTCTCCCTCTGGATGAGCCACGAAACCAGTTTCCTTTTTGCCTGCTCTTAATGACTGATTAAGTCACAACTTAGAAGAATCCCTTTGCTGTTCTGGAAAGCACAGCAGTGCTGACCACTAACAAGACCAATATAACTTCTCACTGAAAAAAAAGATAGTTCTAAAGAAAGTGGTATGTGCAGGACTGTAAATAAGAGGCTCCCATTTCCAGCAAAATCCTGAATTTAATGCAGAATCGCATACTCTGGAGATGTCCTGTCTGTAAACAGCTCAACTCTATCAAATGTTTGTACAGCCTAACAGTGATTACAACTGTTTTCCACGCAAGTGTAAATGCCCACAGGGCTGTTTCTCCATTTGAACATCCACAGTCAGGGCAGCATGAGTGAGCAGCTGTTAGAGGGAATGTTTAAAGGAGGGTGTCTTCTGCTGCTCCAAAAGAATAGGAGGTGAGTTCATAATTGTAAGGAAAGCTGAAGAGTCTGAATGACACTGTAACCTAACTGAAGCCACAGAAGCTACCTTTCCTTATGCCATCTGAAACTCAATTCAAAATCTTTTGTAAGTGACAGTGACACCTCAAACTTACCGTAATTGAAGGTGCAGCAAAAACCAAACTAAGCAACATCAAGAAGGGAACAGCCTCTTGTGTAGGTTCAATGTATGGCATACTCAAACTCTTGTCATAGCAATTAAATCCAGAGTGAACTGGCTTGAAGACATCAGTAAGTTCAAGGAAATAGAGGCTAACAACAGAAGATGCCAATATTGGCAACTAGGAAGAGAAGAAAGCAACAAATTACTTTTCAGAAATGGAATAGCAGTGCTTTTGCATAATCACCATAGTGTGCTCATCTCTGCAAAGTTTGTTATTTATATCTCTCTGCTGCTTGTAATATCAATTTTACTGTCTTTAAATAATTAATTCTCTAGATACATAATACTGTTGAGTTGATATCAAGTAACCCTGTTATCTACTGACATAGTCAAAATACCTGATCCAATCTTCAACCTCCATAATTTCACCCTTTCCCTTTTATCTATGAATTATTCTTGGGCAGACTGATGTTTGTTCAAATGGAAGTCTGAGGTCTCCCATGAAGGGCCATGGGGCTCTGCTGTTCAGCATCACCCTTAGTTTGGGCCTTTAGCAACTCCCCGTCATGTGTAAGTGTTTATACTAAAGCCAACTGGGTTTAAATATCAACATACAAATGTTGAACAGTAACATTTAATGAAAAGAAAAACACTATCTAGGGCTTCCCTGGAAACTTTGACATAGGTGATAATATAGTGTATTGCCTTCACCTATTCATTTTAGGAATTCTGTCAAAAAAAAAAAAAAAGTGAAATTCAGTCTGCATAGAACCACCAGAACTATGATTCACAATTCTTTTAACTTCTAGGTATTTAATGTTTTTTCACAATTACTTCCATTTATTGAGAAGTTAATCCCTGTGGGGATAAATTCACCCCAGCTTAACCCCAGCTCTGGAAAGCAGAGCTTGTGCCAAGTGGTCTCTGTGGAAGGAGGTTGTTCAAGGGAAGCAAGAGCAAAGGAGGGTACTGGTTCTGCAGCCTGGGGTTTACGAGAGAGTAGATAAGGCAGCTCTTCCCTTGTGTTTAATGGGGCACTTGGTGGGAACCAGGAGCCAATAGTTCCCTGCATTCTTTATTGAACGTCTACTAAATTCTCATTTTTTTTATTTCACAGAGTTCTCACTGAAGATGACCACGTTACAGTCACTGCCACTGCATCTCCACTGAGATGCAATGACTCCCTCCCTATGTTCCTGCTGCAACAAAAGGTACCTGTAAATAATGGGATGTTAGCTGCACATCTTCTCCCCACCACCATTTATTTTTATTTTTTTTAGATGGCTACCATGTTGACTTGTCCTCACTTTTAACTGCAGCTGAAAAGCACTAGCTTGCAACTACTAAGATTGATACTACTAAGATTGATACTACTTAGATTGATAAATCGTACTATATAATATTTAAATTTATATTATTATGCATAATAATTACAACTTATAATAAATATATACAATATAT